AGGTTAGAGAGGGAGAGAGCCAAAGCATAAGAGACTCTTAAAAACTGAGAACAAACTGAGGGTAGATGGGGGGTGGAAGGGAGGGGAGGGTGGGTAATGGGTATTGAGGAGGGCACCTTTTGGGATGAGCACTGGGTGTTGTATGGAAACCAATTTGAAACAAATTTGATATTAAAAAAATAAAAACTAAAAGGAATATTTAACAACTGTGCATATCATAATATTACATCAACATATTTAAAGAATAGATATTGATTGACTGTTAAAGTAGATTTTAACACATTCCCCCTCTAGTAACTGAAATAAGCAAACAAAAATAGTAGATAACAAAAAAAATTGAATACCATAATTAAGAAACTTTGCCTAATTAACATATGTAGAACTATATACCTAACAAATATAAAATACCCAATCTTTTAAAATGCATCAAAAATAGAAAATACCTAGGAATAAATCTAATGAAAGATCTGTAAGGTCTCTAAAAATCTATGTAACATTATTAAGGAAAATTAACCAAGAACTAGTTAAGTGGATATATATCATGTTTTGCGGTCAGAAAACACAAGATTTTAAAGATTTTTTTTTTTTTTTACTGAAATGAAACTTCTTCAAAATGAAAAGGAAAGGAATAGGTATGGAACCTCCTGAAATTTCATCTAAATATGGGGGAGAAACAAGTCTAGAATGAAGGTTTTAAGAGGCAGTAGGAGAAAAAATGCAGTTGCTTTCTGCCGGTCTCCTTTTGAGTCCAGCTCATTTAATATGATACAGTGGTTAAAAGGAAGTTCATAAATTCACCGTGTGAGGAAAATTAATCTTGACACTAATTATGAAAAATGTGTCATATAGGTACTTATATAGAAAAGCAATTAGATAATAGAGTACACTCAATTAATTACAGTTTCACAAAAGGTACAGAAATGTTCTTCAAATGCATATTTCTTTCATTACTGCTGCATGAAAGCTGAAGGCGTTTTAGCAAGGAAGTAAGATAATATAGCCAAGTGTGCAGCCTTCAACAGAGAAGAGTTCAAAGGCCTTAGACATGCAACAAAAATGAACTGGAAAATGCTGGAGCTTTGCAGTTGGATAGACTTGATTTGAATTTAATCTTTGAGCCTCTTTTTATCTATAATACCCATCTGACTGGACTCCTTGAGGATTAAATGATAAACTGTGAAACTGAAATCTGGCATATGTTAGTCTCCCTTTCTTTCCTCTCAGAGACCAGTATCATTAGGATATACAAGTCTGGACCACACTTACTAAGTATCACAAATAAGCTGTGGCTAAGAGAAACACTGAAGGGGCGAAAATTCTGCTCAGTTGCTGAAATGTTGCTGTTTGAATTTCTGGTTGAAAAGAGAGCCCTCTCATTAGATACAAGCAACAGAGTCGACATTCTGTTGTGAAAATGTAGACAACGGGCTTCTTTTCTTGCCCCCAGACGAAGGTTTCATCATGATTCTGCAGACACTGGCCTTAAAGTGAGTAGGTGGCAACACACTGTACACTTTAAACTTATAAATTATTGCTCATCAGTTGTATCTCAATAATGAAAGAAAAAAGAAAAGAAAGAAAAGCCTAGCACATCTTTTGAATGGATCAAAAATCATTAAAGCGATATCAAAATTACCCAAACAGCTACTTAAGCAGTCTCATCAGCACCAGTGGATTAATACATGTGCTTGCGAGGAAGTGAGGCACATTAGAAATCTATGCTGGCACGTGCACAAAGTGGAAACCACAGATTCTCTGTGTTACAACCTGGAAGGGCCAACTCTAAGGAAGTAAAGCACAGAGAATACTTTAAACATGTAGCACCAATTAAGCTGAGATTATCATTTCATTCCTTGTAGATAATGGGCAGCACCAGTCTTCTTGGTACAATTTCTTATCGGCAATAGAGAACGTTATTATTATCAGTGCTAGTTAGTTAGGTAGAAAGGAGCTCTGATGGAAAATTTGGGTATCATGAAATTTCATCAAAATTGACCTTTTACTCTCTGCTTTTCCAGCTCAGTTTCTTGCCGTTAGTTACTTAATGGCAGGACATGGCCTCAAATTCACTCAAATAATACCACGATTGAAGCTCTGAGAAGCGCTGTCCAGTACGATTCTGCTCTTCAGACAAAACAGCCAACAGTAAACTAGATTAGAAGCAGATACCCCCTACCATGAAGAATAGGATTGGCCCTTACCATGTTGGGTAGCTTGGCATCCAAAATGATTCCTAAGATAAAAGGAAAATCTACAGGCAAATTTATAGAGATCATCTCAAAAATAAACAAGAAAAATTGTGACTTAAATAGGAAAAGGTCTTTTGCATGTTGATCATTAATATCTGCCTAACTAAACCAATACATTAATAGAATGTAGAACTATAATTATTCCATATTTTAAAAAACTATTAGAGCAGTAACATCATGACATTTTAAAACTTCTATAAAAGCAACCAAGTACATCTTGCATTCAACTTAAATTAGTTTGAAATCATCTTACCTGAGTAAAAAGTATAAACTGAGCAAACTGCCAGGGAAGCATAAAAGCAACATTGGAAAGACAGAGTGCAATAAAATGCCTTCTACTATTGTTCGAGGTCCTTAATAGAGAGAATTAATACCAGTAAGTTTTACCATTAAAGTTAAGCCTATCACTAAACAGAAAAGCTAACTGCAAAATGATGAAATCTAATGACTCCTTACCTTTGATCTAAGGCAACAAAATATAGTCAAATTTAAAAACTCATTAAAAAGAACTCAAAATACCTGTTATAAAAATGCTTAGTACAAAACAATCTAAATTAGCAGTTTAAATACTGTATCTAGTTTACCAGTAAATAAAATAAACATAAAAGTTTATTTTCCTTTCACTGTGCATGACATAAGAAATTTAATACTCCAGCAATGTGGTCAGAAAACAGAACATGAACTGACCCTGCAGAGCTCAAGATACTTAGCCTATATTAGCAGCAACAGTTTTATATACCACCATTTTTATATTTCAAAAAGCAATGGAGGAAAAGTGTACAAGGTGGTGAAGTAATAAATTAACAATGAGAAAAATTTAAAGAAAAAAATTAAAATGATGTCTTAAAGAGAATTGTGGAATGCAGTTATAAACTACTGCACACTGAAGTTTTAAATTGTCCAGTCTGCAATTATGAAATATCAGTAACCAACACCTTTTACCACAGATAGTGTTAGTATCTTTTAGAATATGAAAAAGAAATGTACAACATTTTGTGTAAATCATAAAATTGTAGCCGTTCTTTTTTATAAAAGGTATACTGGATTTTGATAAATCCTTACACTATGTTATATAAATTTTCAAAAGCAAAACTTTAAATGTTCATATTGTTTTGTTATATTATCACAAAATATATTCACTAAGTACTCAGTTATATTTACCAAACAAAAATGACTCTTGGCTAAAGTACAGAGTGTATAATACATGCACTCATGGGTATAATCCTAATGTTGTAGTTAAAAAATATAAAAAGAAACCATCTCTCTAGGAATTTAGATTACCAAAAATCTGTAGTCTAGACTCAAGTGGAAAGCAATTATTTGCGTAATTTTAGATTATTTTCTCAACTAGATACTCAATTTAATTTTAAAGTAACTAAAAATAAAAAGAAAACTAAATTTGACAATTATAACTTAATAAGTTGAAGCATATTTTAAGAAAGCTTACATAAATTTAGATTTGTTTATAAACAAAAATTACCTGAGAATCAAAGTTAAAATGCACATCTGAAGTACAAGAAATGGATATGAGAAACTTTCCCGGAGAGGTGGTGTCCACATTACACGGGTAGCCTGAAATCAATAAAATGCTTACTTTGCTTTATGTTCCATTACAGTAAACATTATTAATCTAAAAATCATGGGTAGGCTGGTTTTAATACTTTTAATACCAGACTCATTGATTTCTGAATAGCTGGGATAGCTTCTCAGTTTTTGGAGCTCACTTAATGGGCATACAGGCATTAGGTAGAGAGCCATTGACTAGCAAGTCCAGAAGCAAGTGAAAGATGTATCATGCCAAATATAAGAAAACCTGAAGGACAAACAAGATGACAGGCATAGGAGTGGTGAGGATTCTGGGACTGACAACCAGATCCACATTCTAGCTCTGCACTAATGATCCTGGCATCCCAGGGCTGTGGCCCAGAAAAATATTTAACCAAACGTCACCTAGGGCATGCACAAGCACCAAGAGAGTTTACACATAACAAGTTTAATGAGTACAGACACACAGTACAAATAATTAAGATGGTCTCTGAATCTGTGAAATATACCTTTAAAAGAGTTAACTGCAAATTTCGAAAAACAACTGGAAGTATTTTTAAATCACTAATGTGATGCATAAATGAAAGTATTAACATTTTGTACAGGCTTTAAAACTAATCATTTCTAAGACACGAGTGAGAATATTATAAAAGTTCTATGTCAAGAATTCTAAAATTCTAGAGAAAATCATAACTCTTATAAACTCTTATTACTCCTATTCTAAGAAACCAAAACTATAAACTTTGGAAGATTAATTATGGTATGTTTAAGAAAGTTTGGCATACTCAAAGAAAAGTTCTTGCCTTTATATTAACACCTGGTGAATGACAATGTATTCGTTTAAGTTTATACATTTAAGATATTTATGTATAATTTTTATGATTCCCTTGTCTAACTAGTTTTCTAAAATTCACCAAGTGTTTGCCTTTCTCAGTAGTAACAGAAACTTCAACCCTATGTAACCCATGCCAAAACATATTACATATTTTGCTTCCAAAAGCTAGCAGTCATATTCTCTCACTTTTCACTGCCACATCCTCAGCATCGAACAGAATCTGGCATAGGTCATGTACTCAGTATTTTGTTGAATGAATCTATCATACTCTAAATAAGTTTCTATGAGCTCTTTGTAGGTAGACTATAACCCATTGGACTGAGTTAGTAAATTTCTATTTTGAATTCAGCATTTTGTGTAACTGAAAAAGGCAGCCTGATGTAATAACAGAAACAAGGTATTAGAGCAAGACAGATGGAGAATGGGAAACCCAGCTTCACCAGGTACTGACTGTGAAATCTTGCATAAGTAACAACCAGCCTAAATTACAATTTCACATCTTCCACCGTGAGGAGAACAGCTACCTTCCAAAAAAGTGTGGTATGAGTAAATGAGATATTTATCAAGTGCCTGAACTCAACAAGTACAGTATTTGCTTTTTCAACAAAATAGAGTATTTGCTTTTTCTACAAAATGTAGGTATACTAAAAACCAAGCAAGATACTTCACATCATGAATTCTAATTATGTAAAAATGTGGATTAACATGATTAAAATAACAACTTACAACATAAGGTTCTTTAAAATATTGCGAAGTCCTAAGTAACATGCAATTATATATTGTTTTGATGAATGTATTTCCTTGTTCCTAAACAGCCCCTTCTATTTCTTAAAAATTATTTTCTAGAAAACAAACCTCTCCATGGTTGAAAAAGTAGCATAATACTGTAATTAGACCTCCAAGTTGAGTCCCACTGTTAAAAAAAGAGTATACGTTCATAATTCATGCAAAATATAATGAGTTTCTCACAAAATTATCTCTTACAATTTAAAGTCATATTTAAGACACCACAGTACTGAACCATATAAAATGATAGTAATGATTTCAAAAGTACCCATGTACTTAGTATTTTATTTTTTTATTTTTTTATTAAATTTTTTTTTCCCAACGTTTATTTATTTTTGGGACAGAGAGAGACAGAGCATGAATGGGGGAGGGGCAGAGAGAGAGGGAGACACAGAATCGGAAACAGGCTCCAGGCTCTGAGCCATCAGCCCAGAGCCTGACACGGGGCTTGAACTCCCGGACCGCGAGATCGTGACCTGGCTGAAGTCGGACGCTTAACCGACTGCGCCACCCAGGCGCCCCCTGTAGTTAATATTTTAATCTTGAGTGTACAAGCATACGAAGTATACATATAAAGAAATCAGAATTTTATAATTTATTGTATTTAAAATATTTTCTAAACAAAATACATGTGAACATAAAAGTTTTTTACAGGCCAGCATTTCAAAGTCTATATTGCATTCTTTGAATTTTCTCAATGGAGGCCAGGTTTTGTTTTTGAAATTGGATTTCAGTGACTGGGAGATGAAGACAAGAGCCCAAAAGTTTCACTTAGCAGTAACTCTGAACTATCTAAACTACTACAAACATTCTTTTGTTGAGTCCCAAAGAAACAGCAGTGCAAAATGCAAAACTTAGATCCCAGATGGCTGATAATCATCAAAGATTATGAACCGTTTCTTAAAGTTGCCTTTTCTTTGTACATTGTCATCACTGTATCCATGGCTTCACACTTGGAAGACAACATCACATGAATGACTGAAGAACTAATGAAATGAGCTCAAAACAACAAGCAGAGGAAAGCTAATAGGAAGTGATTTACCATCAACAGATTTTCACGAAAGAAAATTCAAAGAATGCCTTTGAAAAGAAAGAAATTGCGAGGAGGAACCTGTGAGAGGCAGAAGGCTGTAGCATACAGAAAGTAGGACCATGTGGATATAAATGTGAGCAAGATTCAACAACACAAATGGCGATAACAGTGACTGCTATGGAGGGGAAATAGTAGCACTAAACTACGATAATAATTGTAAGATATGAGGGGCTGCTTTGAAGCAAAGTGTCCTCAAATTCCTTGTATTGTAAGAAGGGGAAATATCTCAATTAATTTTAGACTTGATAAAGTCAGATAAGCATGTTAATGTTTTATTATTAACCACCAAAAGAACAGAAATGGAATAGCTACATTCCAAGTTACTGCCAACGGCGAGGGTAGCCAGGGTAAGAAATATAAATTTACCCCTGCTTCCTATTTCTTTGTTTCTCATATGCCATTGTTTCTGCTCTCGTCACAATATTGGTGATGCTATACACACACACACACACACACACACACACATATACATATACATATATATACATACACTGTATGTCAGCTAACTTATACTTTATTGTCAAGTTAGCTGACATACAGTGTACATACAGTGTGCTCTTGATTTGGGGGTAAACACTTTTATAGCCAACATTTGTTTTATCTACATATCCTTTTTTTAAAGACTGGAGCCGATGGGGCACCTGGGTGGCGCAGTCGGTTAAGCGTCCGACTTCAGCCAGGTCACGACCTCGCGGTCCGGGAGTTCGAGCCCGTGTCAGGCTCTGGGCTGACGGCTCAGAGCCTGGAGCCTGTTTCCGATTCTGTGTCTCCCTCTCTCTCTGCCCCTCCCCCGTTCATGCTCTGTCTCTCTCTGTCCCCAAAATAAATAAACGTTGAAAAAAATTAAAAAAAAAAAA